GTATGTGAGAGCACCACAGCTATTCTGGATTTGACAATGAAATGAAAAATCACCATTTCAGACAAATTTTAATCTGGGACATCCAACTTGTAGCCCATCACTTTTCTGGCTGCACGATCATTGCTCCCTTTGAGTTCATCTAATCAGCAACTGCATCTGAACTGGCTATCCTATCCTGTTCAATGATGGTGATGTATTTAATTATGCTTTGTGAAATGTAGAGGTTATGTGTCAAAAAAAACAGGACGATTGCCAAACTAGGAAAACGTGAAAGAAGCCACAGCTTATTTCAACGTGCTGTATTAAATTCATGACTTCCCAAATATAAAGCAGCACTAGTCATTACGTTGTTTTGTTTCGTTCGATGTTGTGTAAATTTTTGTTGCAACCCATTTTACCAGACAGCTGCAAGTCTTCAAAGTAATACATAAATTTAAAACCCTGAGCAAAAACTTCCCACTAACCAAGTTTTGATAGAGTTAAGCTACAAAGTAACTTCCATTCAAAATGAATCAACCATTAAAATGTGTTATGAGAACAAAATTATGTTCTTGAATACTTGGTAACATAATGCTGCTACAAGTAGCTGTTACATCATAAGTCTTTAATGTGGACCTCAAATCCCAATTCCATGAAGTGCAGTAACAATGTAATATGTATGCAGTCGGTGTTAATGAGAAAAAAAAAAGATTTGCCAATCCAACTTCTCTCCCTATGTGTTGTTAGTGTCCAGTTCCTCACAGCAATCACCGCCGCACAGTGCTGCCATCAGCCTGGTCTTCATCCACCTTGCAGTAGTCATGGGAGAGGCAACTCTTTATTACCAACCTCACTCAGGACAGACTTTTGCAATTAATAAAACTATTGGAGAACCTTAAGTATATATCTAAAACGAGTCAAGTCTCTTAAAGCGAACACAGAAAAAGCTGTAAGACTTGAGGTTCTCACAGCGGTGAATATTAAGATTTCTGTCTTCTGGGTTATTGCGCTGTGTAGTCTGGTCGATGTTAACCAA